CCTCTTCCTTCTAGGGCCCTACCCCATGAGATTCCTCCAAGTAGGTCCCTGAAGAGGCCAAAGTTAGCTCTCCCGAAGTCCAGGGTTGCAATCCTACTCATTGCCCTGCTTCCTCCTCGTAGGATCCTGAACTCCACCATCTCATGGTCACTGTAGCCAAGGCTGCCCCCAACCTTCACATCTCCAACCCGACCTTCTTTGTTTGTTATTTTACAGTGTAGCAGCACATCTCTCCTTGTTGGCGTCTCCACCACCTTTACCATTACTTCTGCTACCTGCTGAAGTTACCATGGTTTGCTGATGGGACATGTAGTCAAAGAAGGACTTCTGGTATTTTGGTCTTGAAACCAAATTTCATTTTCTCTATCTATAATATTCATACTTTGTGTGTGTGTGTGTCCTCTCCTGCCAATCTGTCCTACTTCTTCCGGCATTTTACATTCTAGATTGTTTCTAGGCTTTATTAAAATGTACTGCTATTCTTTTTGTATCAGGGAAACTTCTTTTTACCATTCACATCCAAATTTACTGATATACAGTCTATTAACAGGAGTTTTAAATTCTTAATCGCCCTCTAGAACATCTTGAGTCTGACTCCTCTGCATGCGTGCGCATTCATATATTCTATTGTCTGTTAAGTATCCAACGTCCTATCTTTTTGGACTTATGTGACATAACAGCTGCCATAATTTCTCTCAAGATCTTGACATCAGTAGGATATCATAATCCCTTTTCACCTCATTTTTTAATCTACTTCTTAGACTATTTCCTCTTCAGATTGTCTAATAGGATAAAGCACCTTTCTTCGCCTTCCAGGGAGAGGAATTGGAAGGAACTGTGACTTCTTTCAATTCTAATTCGGTCATCAACCTTTGCAGTTGCACTTATAAAATATTCCCTTTCAAATTCAAAATATGATTTCAGCTTCCAACTTCTAATTGTTCAATTGCAGATTTATCTCTTTCCTCAATTGCTTTGGTCAGCTTTCATCAGGTAAAATGCAACAGTCAGAACTGATCCAATTTAGCCAGTGTGATACATACAGTCACTTTTAATTCTAAGCTTTAGCAAAAAGTTCAACAACATGTTCACGCTTCCCTTGCAAGCCTGAGTGCTAATCATAGAACCTAATTAAGCTCTCCACAATAATACATATGTCCACCTGTCACCACAACGTTGTTGCTGTTAATTAAAGCAAGAAGCCTGTGTGAGGCTGAATGATGTAAGATAATGTAACTTTTGAAACCCGTCTCCAATTTGTCCATTCACCTATCTTAAACTAATCCCTCTCAAATTCCTTAGAATTTTCTATTGAAGACTATATTAACTGATGCTGCATCAACTTTAAAGATTGCCAGCACCCTTTACTCCCTTTACTACTTTGTAAATGATATAAATTGGATATAGCAGATGTCAGAACTCTTGGCTCCTACAAGAGAAAACAAGCATGCATTGAAAACTAGGCTATATGTAACGATCTCAAACTTACAGCACTTCAACTTTTGCCAAGATTATGCAATTAAAGACTTCATTACTTAAATGCTTGCAGAGATCAGCATAGCAAAGATGATGATGTCAGCCTTACTAAAAATGCTAATTCTTTGCGTCCCACAGGGGAAAATGTCAGTGAAACTTAAAAATACAAGAAGACTTTTTATTCCACATCACTGTGAAATCAAAGTGTCAAAAGCTTACAGAATTCAGTTCACCATGCATTTGATATGGGAGCACTGAAAAAAAACGTATAGCAAAATTAACTGAGAAGCTCACATTTTAAAACAAAGAAACATATTTTTTTTTCTGCTCAAGTTCAGTAATATGAAAAATTAGATATCAAAACCTACCCAAATGTGAAATAAAGTGAGATGTAAAATATTATCTGTTTCATTATTACATTAAATCAATTCATTACTCACTCTTAAGAACTATATCTTCATATCTAACTTTTAGAAACAGGGTCAGGATTAACTTAATACTCACTAAACCACAGCCACAGCATGAAAGGCAATTTAATATTTTAAGGTTAGGTGCTGTGTCATCTCAGTAGTTTTCAGACAAAGTTTGCTCAAGTTTTTGCCATCTCATCCAATAAAACTACAGCTTCTGGGAATAGACCATTGTATTTCTGCTGAGAATTCAACAGGAAAGTATTGCATTAATTTTCCTATTATGAGACTGGCTCCAAACAGCTAAGGGGAATAAAGCTGTAGAAATGAAACTGTATCACTAACATAAATATATATGATTTCATAGAAGCCTAGCAATCAGCGCTCTAGAATAAAATGCCATTTTGCAAAATCATTCCTCTGACCTTGTTTTACAAATAACAGATGGGACTGAACCAGACTGAAACACAAGCCCTTGCAAAGTTCCTTGCTTCTCAGAGGCCGACTTTGGCTTCTGTAACGTCAGTAACTATTCAGAATCATTTCCATACATTCACCAGTCAGTCAAACCCAGACTAGTTCACTATCACATTGGCATTACATACAAAAAGCACAAAACACACATAAAATCCTATGTACTCAATAACAAATATATTTATTAATAGAAATCTAGAAGACTACTCACCACGTGTAGAATTTTATTCTCCGTTTCATATACTGTGCAATCCTGAAAAAGCAAAGCAGAAAAGGGAGGTTAAACTCAACCATGCAATCAATTACCCTTCCTAGATTTATCTCTAAAAAGAATTGAATCATACTGGAAAGCCCTTAGGCTGAAACAAAAGATTTCTCTGTCTCAACCCGAATGTACGTAAGCAACATGTGAGATCGCCACAGAGAGGAAGTACCAATTTCTTTGCCATTCATTGTTGTTGTTGCTGCCTCCTTGAGGCAGATGATCATCTTCCTGCTCTTTACACCCTTTTGGGGCATACCAGCTGGCCACATGTACGCTGGACAGGTGGCTTCAACTAGCAGTCCCTAACCATGGAGAAAAGTCGTCTACTTCTAGAAGGAACACTGAAAACCAAAGATATTGGCAACAGCCTGAAATGTACCCTCCTGGAGAGACTCCCACCAAAAACTGTCTAAGACTCTGCAAAGCAAACAAGTTTAAAGTCACTGTACAAAAATGGCCTCTTCCCCCCCCCTCATTATTTTATCTTTACTTTTGATTAACTAATCTTATTTCTTCTAAATTGTCCTCCATTTAAAGTTATGTAAAAGGGAGTCAGAAAAGCAAGCCGAACAATTGCTGGTGAGCTGAAATGACGTGTTTGCACAACCCACCAAAGGAGGGAAGTTAAAACTTAGGAAGAAGAAGTGGAACAAGAGGATGAAACACCGCCTATATACAACACCCCACACAATGGGTGGGAAGGCAAATGTGGAATGAAAAATGCAGAGGAAACTTGAGCCTGACCATCATATTATGTACACCCTGTTGGAGAGCATGTGCACATCACCGTGCCTTTATTTAGAATATAAGGCAGTTTCTATAAGAAAGACTAGCAGATGGGAAGCTGGAGGCTGCGAGAGTTTTTACGAAGGGCCAAAATCTCTGTGGACAGAGAACTGAAAGACAGGGACTAAGAAGGCAGAGAGCATGCGAAATACAGCTAACGTTGGTGAAAGAACCGCACCGCTCTTTTCTAAGTTTACCGGATGCTGTATCTGTATAGTAGGTAATTCATGCAAGTTCAGCCAAATGGAGGCTTTATACCCTACCTAACAACTCACTTAAGTATGAAAACTATTCACGCTTTTCAAATTCTTTCATTTTGTAATCAGTTTTTGCAGTTAGAAAAAGAGCTTTGGTATATACAACTGTTTTAAAAAATGAAATTCTTATCCATGAAATGCTTCTAGTGTTACCCAAGCTAAGAAAAGCCAATGTGTTCTTAAGCTTTATATAAATCAAACCTATGCAGAAGCAGCAGGTTCATCAGGGAGTATTTTCCTACTAACAGCTGTTGACATTCAGGAAACATTTGCCAATGTAAAAAGTACAGCCGGAAAGAAAATCTAACATGTTTAATTATATGCAGACATCAATGAAGTATTTGCAATCTTAGCAGCAAAACACACATTTCATTGTTATATGTGGGAGGGCACATAACATTTTCAGTCTGGATACATCTATGTTCTGCATGGATTCTTATGAATCATTTACACACAGCAGGAGGGGATTGCAACATTTATACTGAAAAAAGAAGCACCTCTAAGCAGGCATAGCAAAATATCCATACTACAAATGAAATAACTACAAGTTCAACATTCAGCTTAAAAAGGATACTGCCTGATAATTCTTGCTGCTAAGGGAGGAAGGATTCTGGGTTTTTAAATGCTATAAAGGCTTATTACAAACCAGAAATGAGTGATAAAGGGGGAAGCACTGCTACTTTCTTGAAATGAAACAGTTCCATACCATCACGAAGGAAACTAAAGAAATATGGTTATTTCTGACAAAACAATAGTATAAATAACATTTCTGAATCTACAAAGATAGCAAAGACAGTGCAAAACTTCACAGGCGTCCTATCTAACCAAGGAACAAGTACCGGTGGCATCGCCCTTAAATTCTCTCCTCAACACACACGCATCCAGGGGCTGAGGAGACAAATCACTAAATGAGCCTATCACATACAGGACTGCTGATTGTTGGACTTGGTGTTACATCTTCCTATTCAGGCAAGTGGAAAAATAACAATTTGAGTTCAGTAAACCATAAAAGACAGAAATTGGAGGAAAGTAAACCTAATGCGCTAGGTAAGAAACAATTCCAAAATATACTCTTTTCCATACATAAATGACTAAATATTATAAGATAAATAACTAAACACTTTTTA